TATATATATATATATTGCTTCACAACTACCCCAATATGGGTATCAAATGACAGGGATTGACTAGTGGGTAGGTAGGACACTTTGCAAACCATGCAAATTCAAAATGGCCGCAGCTACAAAATGACGGATTTCATATTTTTTTCACAAATATCTCAATATGAGTATAAAATGACAGGGCTGGACTAGTAGAATAGCACTTCGAAAAAGAAGCAAATTCAAGCTACAAAATGGCGGATAACATATTTTTTCACAACTACCTCAATATGGGTAACAAATGACAGAGCTTGACTAGTAGAATAGTAGTGCACTTTGGAAAAGATGTAAATTCAAGATGGCCGCAGCTATAAAATGGCGGATTACATATTACCTTGTAATACTGAGGTACTAATTGATCTGAACAGAATGAGAAGAATTAGGTAACAAAATTAGAAACTGAAAATTCGTAAAGAAAATAAGTAAAAACATTTTTCATGTTGAACGGTTTTATTGAAAAAAAAAATAATAATGATGTAGGTGATGCACGTAGCATTACCTGAGTAATTAGGTGAATACTACGTCTAACGATTTTCTTATTTTTTTATTTTATCCACCTAGGACTATCCGAATTATATTTTAGTTGTTAGTACATTATCTACATCATTATTATTATTTTTTCAATAAAATCGTTTGAAATAAAAAAATATTCTTCATTTTATTGAAGTGGAGAAGTGAAAACACAATAAATTGCCAAACTTCATAAACAAAAATAATTTAATCATTTAAATAAAATTTCAACAATAAATTAAAGAAAACAACTTATTGAGAGCTTCCAGTATCTCATGATATGACTTCAAGGACGGCTTGTCGAGCTACTGGCAGTAGTTCCTGGATAATAAGCAGAGTAGGCGAGACTTTGCGGTTCGCTATTCCCGGACCAGACTCTCTGATAGGGACCACCTTGGTTGGGTTCCCATCCTGGTTCATAAGAACTTGGTGGAGCCGTGGATGGAGCAGGTCCATAAAGTGAAGCCGGAGGTTCAGCAGGGGCCATCATCATTGGCATTGGCATACCTATAATTATAATGTTCAATTAATATTTTTGATGAGACAAATGAGTTGCAACACTAGCAATGAAATGTTCCATGGTTGCAAATATTTTTACTGAAAAATAATCACTTTTAAGTTTTGGTAGATGAAATCAAGAGACAATCAGAAAAAAACGTTTCTACACATTTTTCACTTCGATGGAAATATACTCACCTGACTTAGCCATGAATTGGTAGATAATGAATCCCAGAACAATCAATATCGCAAGTTTGCTCAAGATCAAAGCTTTAGTGGCTTTAAGACCGATGAGAGCAACAAACAACGGCATTAACAATTTCATTTTGAGTTTCAACAGCAGCAAAACTGGAAACAAAAGTTTCTTCTTCAGTCCTAGTGCTCTTGCTGAAAAAAAAAAATCAATAAATAATGAAAAAATGTGTCTTTTCTGATCCAGAATGTTATACATACATAATTAGAAATTGTGAGAGATTATTGATACTTACATTCTTCTTCTGTTTCATGTGAAACAATATCAAGACCAGATTTTGGATTATAAACAATTTCAGTTTTTTCCATCAGTACATCGGGAATTTTGAATTTTAATTCATGAGTCTGCAAAATCCTCGCTGTTCTTTTGAAGATAGCGGTATCGATATTCTACAAGACGTTCATTGAAATTTGTTTTATGAAACAATGAATGATAATAATAATAATTGAATCGATATGAAAAAACAAATTAAATAAATATTTCAATAAAGTTTCGTGATTTGTATTTTGGAAGTGTTATCAAATGATTTCTCATATCAATATTATTTTGTATAGAAATTGAACATATTTTCTGAATTTTACAAAATTTTCACAATTTCTTATTTTCATTGGCAATGGCAATATATTTTTTATTGAATATCAATAATTAATTATATGAATGTCTGTTGCTTGAGAACTGTACTTTGGGTATATTCAGGAAACATATCATTTATGAAAATATGAAAGTATTTAGATATATTCTCCGGTATGCACTTGAAATTTGAAAGGACTCATATCCAGATCACTTTCGTATTTATATATTCTTATTTGAATAAGTCCTATTCTGCAATCTTTGTAAAATTTTCATCTGATTTTCGTTTAGTGAGAATGAAATTGTTGAACAATATTAAAAATGATGCCCTATGTTAGATCTGAATATCTTGAATTTTGTTTCATTCATTGGATCTCTTTCTATTCTTGATAAAAGACTAAGTTTTCTAACAATTTTTTCTAAGATATATGTTACATGTTCATTGAAATTTAGTGAACTATCTGAAAATACACCTGGATATTCAAATTTTGAAACAATTCCAATTCATTCATTTTCAAAACAGACAGATCTAATAGTTTGTATTTGCTTCATTAATTTCGAGGAGTCGTATAATATATTTATTTACCAATTATTGAGCAATGGAATGAATGAAAAATGTGGACTTTTTCAGTCGAAGCTATTTTCCGCATTTTTTACCCGTGGTCTGCAAGTTTTCATGCCTGACGTTTCCTTCACGACTGCGGTAAACATAATCTTCGAGGACAACCAGACTGTTTTGACAAACAGAACATTTTGTTTGTTGCCTCATTTCCTTCTATAATGTCTACCGCAGTCGTAGACGAAACTTATGGAATTAGAAGCTGCAGATCACAGCCAATAGATATGAAAATAATTTCGACGCAATGTTATGATTGCACCTTGAATTTGGATACAATGATTGAGAATGGTAATTACTGCGAAAGAAAAATTTGTAGAAGATGGTTGAATCTGACTGTCAAAAATGATATCAAATGTATTGTAATTGATGATGATTTCATACATTACTGAGTGACCATTTCATTTCTATGAATAAGTTTAAGAAAATGCTATCACATTTTTTCAGCAGCAAATATTTTTGTCAATTTTCATGGTGGAGATTTAGTAAAAAATTATAAAAAATTCTTGTGAATAGATATACAAAATTCAATTTCATGAAAAATCATTCTGTAAATAAAAGCATATCCATAGATGAAGTATCTGAGTTTGTTTAGGAAATATTCTGAGTAGAATTTACATGAGAATTATTTTGGTAAAAATTGATAATTGAACGTAACTTGAATTCTATGATTTATTAGAAAATAAACTGCATATTCACCTTAGCGTTCCTAACGTCACTCTTGAGTTCAAGTACGTTATCCAGATATCCCAAGACATTTTGCTTGACGCACCCCATGTCTATACAGTTGTCCAGTACTGTAGAAACCAATTCATCCCCAGACCTAGGGGTACTTTGGCCATTGGCGTACGTTACAAGGAGGACAGCTGTTAACAGAAACCGCCACATAGTGATTGAAATGTAAAACAGTAAATCAATGATAATGAATTGTCTGGGCGCAGTTATATATCGAGCGCTATATTGGTTAGGGGGGCGGCTGTTCATAGAATTTTTAATCGGTAGTCGAATTCTTTAAATCGTTTCTTTTTGTTTATGGTATTGTTCCGCTAGAGGATCCGGTGTATACGGTGGTTAGTATTCTATGTAAGGACATCGCGTGCGTATTCACTTTTTAAAGGTACGCGCGGGGAATTGGGTTAACTGAACGTAATTGTTGTCTGGTGGATTTATTTTTGAATACTCATCAGGACAGATCGAGTACAAACTTTGTTTCCTTCAGAAATGAAAGTGAATATTTTTAAATTTCACTGATGAAATCATGAATATAAGAAGAAGAGAAGAGTTTACATTTTTGATTTAGGATGTCGGGTTCTTGATATTGCAAAAAAATTGAATTGCTGTCTTAGAAAATCGCCGGAAATTATTTTTCTATGAGGAACCTAGATGTATCTATATAACTCGTTTTAGGACACCAAAAAATTTTTTATTGCTCACATTCAAATTTCAATCGTATGGTTTTCGTGGAGTATCTACCTTACCTTCTATAAACATATGCTTGGTTTACGTATCCTTCATATTAATCTTGAGAAAGAACAATATTCTACCCAAGATCTACTAAGCATATTTTCGTACTACAAAATATATTGACTTTAATGAACATCATTCTTAGCTTGATAATGATAACGTTCATCATTATATTATTTATTCGATGACGATAGTGTATTTTATAATTTACCAAACTCAGTATACTTATGATGCTTTGGAATCTTTGGTGTAGTGATTAATATTATTGGAATTTTATCCCAACACCGAACCGTTATTTTTAACACATTAAACTGAGTTCAATCTTCCTCTTGAAGATGATCACTTGGTGATCGAAACAGGTGTCGCGGTATTGAAAATAACGGTTTGGTGTTATGATTAAACTCCCGTAATATTCAAACTTGGTATAATTCACCTGGTATAATCATTGAGCTTTATGATCTATTCATAATCTTCAGGTAATAAAGTGTCTAATTAAATAACTATAAGATTGTATCGAATCATGACGCCACCCTCTTTTCCAGGGAAAATTGAAAATAATCAAGTATGCCTGATTCAATCAGGTAAATTGTGCAGGTATGTTATATACATATATTGAGAAGGAGAAAAGAAAGATTTTGGCTTTCTACCTTCTCATCTCCATACACAAACTGTGGGTATCTTCCGATGAAAGAAAGAAAGCAATTAATTTCAAAGTGATGTGTAGATCATTCAAATAAGTAACTTTCAGATACAACCTGGAAGAGAAACACATATTGAATCACGCATAAAAATACTTTCGGAACAACTACTTTCATGTTTGGAGTACAAATTGATAAGAAAGAAGTGTTTTCTGTTTTATTTATTCCGTGTAATTTGATGTTAATATGAAATTAGTTGTTTGGCAGAATTAGAATTTCATATTCAAGTCAGATTTTCAATTAGTGGTTTTAAATAAGGAGCTATGAAAATAATGAATTCCTTGTAGTAATGAGAATGAAAAACTATCCATCATAAATACATTTATTTCATTGATTTTAACTATTTCATCACTTCTGTAGCTTCTTATTCGGAACCATCAACTGAAAATCGGATTTGGATATGAAAATTACAAAAAAAATTAAAATTTCGAGTTTTGTATAGAAATTCGGCATGTAGCGTCAAAATCGATTCCTATTCAACTTTTTTCAATAACTTATTTCGATATCTCCAACGCGAAGCAAAATATCGAGAATTTGCCCTTTTCGCAGGGTGAGATCGCAGTAAGCTGGGTTAAAGGCTGTCACTCGAGTTAAGTATCTATCTATCTGGAAATGATAGATTTCAGATTTCATAATTGGGCCATATCCACTACGTCTGTACGGAAAATTTTACGTTTGACGGACTTCAACAGGAGAAAAGTATTTCGTAGATAGCTCATTAGAAACTTTTGCCAAAATATTGAAATTTTCATTAAAAATTTGTTGTGTGATGAAAGTAGATTTACCAATAACGGATGGAACAACAGGAATATACTTACATTATCACTGGCGACAAGAAAATTGATATTTATATAGAGTAACCAATTTTCAAGAGATATGATATTTTAACGTATGAATTGGTGTTGATAATGAAATTGTTGGCCCCCACTTTTTGAAACATTTCTGACCGGTTAAATATACTTGGACTTCTTATCAAAGAGTCCAATTGAGTTTTTAAGAAGATTTATCACTTAGCCTTATGAGGAAATATGAGTATTTCCAACACGATGGAGCTCCACCACATCGCAGGAGAATGTGCAGAGATTTCTTCACAACAATTATGCCAGGAAGATTGATAGGAAATAATGGTCGTATTGAATGGCCACCACTTCACCGGACCTTTCTCTTGTGAATTTTTCGTGCAGAGCTTCATGAAAGATGAAGTATTCAGTACAAATTTTTAAAATATTAAGGAATTGAATGATTCAATCAGGAGAGCCTGCATGGCTATCACTCCACAGATGTGAGAGAACTGCCACAAGCACACTATTTCTAGAGCAATTATTTGTTCAATAAATAATGGGAAGAAAATTTGAACATTTAATGGAATATCGCGTGGGACGGTAACTTGAAAAATGTAACGTGGGGCATTCCGTTATGATGTTCATTTTGTACGACCTATTATTCCATTACATTCTCTTTCGCAACTATTCCTTTTTCAATGTGGTGTATTACGATACTATTACCTATGTGCTTGCAACCATTTTTAGAAATTTGATATCTCATTGAAAACAAGTTAAATGATGTAATTTCGATGAAGTGTTTTTCGGAAGAAACGTCGAGAAATACATATAATGTGATATGTCATTGAATTGTCATTGACTTTTAAAATGTATAAAAAGTATACATATTCATATTTAAAAATATATTGATGATGGATTTCAATGAACGAAATGTCGCATTGGCAAATGTGTTGAACCAGATTGTATAAAATATGGAATAAACCAAAATTTTTTTGAGTCATTTGAAATGGAGGCGGTTGAGCAAAAAATAAAAACAAAATCTGTCATTTTCAGTTTTTTGCAAATATCTCAGAAATGGTGTTACTATCTCCATTCGGATTTGAACGCCATCGTAGTTTGGAACTGCACCCTGAAGTTTCGTCAGCATGAGTGTTTGGCTTCTTTAGAGGTGTATTCATCTTGATGATTTACTGACTGGTGATTTCTAGTTCGTAGGTTGTATTTATATTGACTCAGGTAGTCCGCCTCTCTTGTTGATCCCTAGGGTTACAGACAGTATCGGAAAAATCTTAGGGAAGCATAAAATAAAAACAGTGTTCAAGCCCATCAGGAAAATACATGAAAACCTGAGTTCTGCGAAAGACAAAAGAGATCCCATATCAGCTGCTGGGTATATCGTATACTATGCATCTGCGGAAATGTTTATATTGGTACCACCAAAAGATCCATGGGTACAAGGCTGAATGAACATCGGAGAAACTACAAATTAGGTCAAATAGACAAATCAGCAGTAGCAGAACAGGCACTTAGTGAAAGAGATCACACGATACTGTTTGAAGATGTGAAACTACTGGCCCCCGATCATAGATACTACAGTCGGCTTGTACGGGAAGCCATAGAAATCCATAAGTATACGGAAAGTTACAACAGAAAAGAGGAGGCGGTAACGCCTAACCGAAATTGAAATCCCATACTGAAAGTTACTGAAGTGGCAACAGCGCACTGCAATGTTGCGTCATAATAAATATAACCTACGAACTAGAAATCACCAGTCATCGGTGAATCATTAAGATGAATAAACCTCTGAAGAAGCCAGCCACTTGTGCTGGCGAAACGTTGGAAAGCAGATCCAAACTACGACGGTCTTCAAACCCGTACTGAAAATCTCGGCCGTGAAAGCCTCAACCAGTTTGTTGGTGATTTTGTCGATCTGAGAATTCCATTATCTTGTATTCCTTAAAAGACAACTTTCGAATGAACCGTTCTTGTACGACCTACCGATTTTGAGATAGCAATTCAGCTAAAAAAATGGTCTATATTTATA